AGGCTTGTATTGTCTTCAAGTGTGTCCCACTGGTTGAAGATTGCCTTCTCTTTCCCATTCTGACTCATTCAAGTCAACCTCAGCTTAGTTTGAAACTATTTCAGCACCTCACTATTCCAACTAAGAGCCCATCAGTAGTCGGATCCCACCAATAGGCAGAGACCTATTCATCCCAGCCAACCCATTTCGTCCCTTAGCCGAACAATGCTCAGTGATGTCATGGAAACAAGTTGTAATCTGGCTCTGCTCTCTTCGTGGTTCTTCGCTCTTTTGCATATACTTTCTCCCAACCTGGTGTCTCTTACTATTCTTTATAGTCATACTTCTACACTGCCCACAACACAAGCTACCACTGATGCTCTAGGAGGTCATCAGAAACTGTTGATTATCCAGCCATTGGGAACAGAATGTCTCACTGGAAGCTATTGACAGGTAGACCCTAAACTGGACTGGTGTGTAGTATGAATACTCTGGGCAAGTTAGTCATTTGCAGGTGGCTGTCTACAAAGGAAACAAGTTAAACACCTCTACCCTTTCTCTTTCTTTCCTCCCATTCCCACCACTCCTTGAGAGGGTAATCTCTACAGGGTATTTCAAAAAGTTCACAGAAAATGGATTTTAAAAATAAGTTAATTTTCAGGGCAGATGTTTGACCAGGACTTCAGATGTCCACATCTTATACTGGAGCGCCAGGATTTGAGTCCTGGATCTGCTACCAATTTAGATTTCCTGCTAATGTGCATCCTTGGAGGCAGCAGTGATGGCTCAAATGATTAGGTCCCTATCACCCAGGTGGGAGAAATGGATTGAGTTCTTGGCTCTGGGCTTTGCCTGGACCAGCCTCGGTTGTTGCAGGCATGTGAGGAGTGAACCATTGGAAGGGAGATTTGTCTCTATCTCTCAGCCTTTCAAATAAATAAGATCCATTTTTAAATGTTTTAAAGTTTATTTTGATGTAAAAAATTGAAATTCAAGCATTTGAGGGGAATCAAAAAGTTCACTAAAAATGAATATTATTGGGGCAAGCATGGGGCACAGTGAGTACAGCCACGGCCTGCAGTGCTGGCAACCCATATGGGTACCAATTCTAGTCCAGCTGCTCCACTTCTGATCCAGCTCCCTGCTAAATATACCTGGGAAAGCAGTGACAGATGGCCCAAATCCTTGGGCCCCTGCATCCATGTGGGAGACCTGGAAGAAGCCCCTGCCTCCTGGCTTCAGATTGACCCAGCTCTGGCCATTGCGGCCATTTGGGGAATGCATCAGAGGCTGGAAGATTCATATTTCTCTCTCTCTCTCTCTCTCTCTCTCTCTCTCTCTCTGCCTCTCTGTAACTCCGTCTTTCAAACAAATAAATAAGTCTTTTTAAAAAATGAGTATTATTAAAAAAATTCTATATGGATTTCAAAAATTTTTGTAGCAACATAAATGTATCTGTTCATTCTACTTTTCAATGAGCTTTTTGAAGTACTCTCATATCTACTGTCTTTATATCATCCCTTGTCCACTTAACTCTTGATTCATTTCCTATACTCCATCTACATATATGCAAACTCTGGAACTGCTCACTCTAGCTGACAGGTGGACCAGTTTTTCTTGAATTTTGTCCCCACCAATCTTCCTAATGAGTTCTTTACTTTCTATATCTCCTTTCTGGTGATCTCAAGTACTTTACCACTTCAATTAATACCCCAGGTAGATGTTTTTTAGATAGTAATCCTAGTCTAACTTACCTACAGAATTCTAGTTTCGTATTTTCAATTATGGGATCACTTCATTTATCACCTAATCTTCCAAATACAGCAGTTTAAAAGTGAAAATAATTTTGTCCCTAAATCAATTCCCCTTCTCAATATTAATAAAAGAAAATATGCCATTAACATTGAAATCAGGTTCAAAACCGAGTCATCTTTCACTCTTCCATCTCTCTCAACCCCATAGTTAATGAGCAACAAGTCATAGAACTAAAAAGTATTCATTCAATACCTTCTATATATCAGGTACACTGTATATATGTAGTGTTGCAAAAATAAAGGAGACAGAAAAAGAGAGCTAGAGGAAAAAAAAAAAAAAAAACAGAGACAAGATCTTACCCTTAATAAACGTACAGGTTAATAATGAGAAACACAGACATTCAGCAATCTCACAAATAAGTTTAGAATTCCAAGTTTGAACAGTGCTTGAAAGAAAGCTATATGCTACTCTGAGAACTTGTTTTAAGAGGAAGACAGAACAATCATTCATTCATTTGATGAATACTTATTGCATATCTACTGAAGGCCAGGCAGTCTGGGTACCAGTCTTTCAATCTCACTTCTGCATTGCCTCTGAAGTCTATGGCCTGTCCTTGCTACTAGTCTTTCCAAAGCTTTCCAAGAGATTCTCCATCCTCTGTCTCTCCAAATTTAACTAACTCATCCCATATGCCTCTATCAGACAAATATAAGGGTACTTCAAAAAGTTCATAAAAAGGTAAGTTTATCTTGGTGCCAAAAAACTGAAAATCATGTAAGCTTTTTCATAACTTTTCCAAAAACTATTTGAAGACCCTCACATAACATGGACACAATGAGCTATAAGGTTGCTTTCTTGTTTTGAAGGCTCTCTGGTGACAACAATATAATTGAAACTCTTGCAGTTAGGTATTCAAGACTCCCATCCTGAGACCTGACCTGTAATTTTTGCTTTTGGTTTTATCTTCAAGTTCTCTTTCATGTGTACCTGTCCTCCAGTCAAACAGGATTACTCAGTGTTCACAAATACATCACATACTTGGAGCCATGATTTCCTTACTGAAAGCCTTCCTTCCTAAAAGTTCAGCTTAATAGCTTTATAATTACAAGAATGTTTCCCTCATTCTCTTCAGTAGTTTGCATAGATGGCAAAGCCTGAGTTCTCATCACATTTATGGTAAGTCCACAAGTCCACCCACCACTGCACATATGACTTGGAAGGTCCTTGGAAGGGGACCTTCTCATTACAGATACTCAAGTATTGACTAAATAAATATTACCAGTATTGATTTCTAGTAGTTTCTTTTTTTTTTTTAATTTATTTTTGATAGGCAGAGTGGACAGTGAGAGAGAGAGACAGAGAGAAAGGTCTTCCTTTGCCATTGGTTCACCCTCCAATGGCCGCCACAGCCGGCACACCACGCTGATCCGAAGGCAGGAGCCAGGTGCTTCTCCTGGTCTCCCATGGGGTGCAGGGCCCAAGCACTTGGGCCATCCTCCACTGCACTCTCTGGCCACAGCAGAGAGCTGGCCTGGAAGAGGGGCAACCGGGACAGATTCCAGCGCTCCGACCGGGACTAGAACCCGGTGTGTCGGCGCCACAAGGTGGAGGATTAGCCTATTGAGCCACGGCACCGGCCAGATTTCTAGTAGTTTCAAATGCACTATTCTTTTCAACAGGGTTGTGAAGTCTTAAAGAAAAGGAACCATGCTTTCTTTTCTGTTTTCTCCACAGTTTTTAGTACAGGACTAAAGAGGAGGAATATAAATATTAGCAAAATGAACAAGTGATAAATTGTGCTTTTTCATAGGAAAAAATACTAAATTAAAATCAATAGTCAAATGTTACAATTTAAGATTAATGCCATGTTTGAACAATAGGAAAAAGAAAAAACTGGAGCTGGTATGTAAACATCCAAAAAATGTTGTTATTTTATTCTATTTATGATTCCTAAGTAACTACTGCTGCTCTGTCAGAAATCTATCACCCTTTATGTGCTTGTTTTGTAACTCTACCTTATGGAACTTCATCATTAATCCTTTAAAAAATGTCTTGGGGCCAGTGCTGTGTTGCGGTGGATTAAACCATCACCTGCAGCACTGGCATTCTTTATGGGTATAGGTTCGAGTCCTGGCTGCTCTACTTCCAACCCAGCATCCTGCTAATGCACTTGGAAAAGCAGCAGAAAGAGGAAAAGGAAGAGGGAGAGGGAAAAAAAGAGAGTTCCCAACCACTTGTTCATTCCCCCAAATCTGACAATGTCTGGGCTGGGCTGAAGCTGGGAGCTGAAAACACAATTCAGGTTCACCATGTTGGTGGCAGGAACCCAGCTACTTGAGCCATTACTGCCACCTCGCAGGGTCTGCATTAGCAGAAGCTAGAATTGAGAGTTGGAGCTGGGACATAAACCCAGGTAATCTGATAGGGGACACAGACACGCCATCCAGGCACCTTAATCCCTAGGTCAAACACCAGCCCTGAAAATCATTTTTAAGGTAGAACTAATAATACACTTGGAATACCACAATGTAAATTATAAACACTGATATAATCAACTTTGTATTATAGACAGGAAATAAGCCTAAACAAAATAAGCTCTTTACTACATTCTGTTCCAAATCAACATACTCATTTACTTGTGTTTTGCCACCTTGAATGGCAACAAAGATCTTGCAGTGATAACATGCATTCCTGGGAGCAAAATGTTCTTATGCAACAGATTGTGAGCCAAGATGTTTTCCCACAGTTTGGTCAGTTAAGAGAGACATTATCATCCTAACCAATTAGCCATAGGAATCAAATCGTCTCTCCTAGTTGCAGTCTTCATGGTAAGTTAAGCAAAACCACATGACTTAGTTCCTTTCTTTGAACTTTTCTTTGGAGAAAACTAGCAAATAAAACACTTTCAGACTTTACTGAAGTTATCCAAAAATAAAGTATGTCTCAAAGAAGTCTGGGTGACTCAGGGTGGTCACTCTCCATGTGTCTTGATTTAAACTAAGGAGCTATTTTTGGTTTGTCATAACTGGTTGGTTGTTGTGGTCTCTGACCAGGGCCAGCACATTGGTCAAAGCAGTGCTTTGTCACAGAATAGGAGCTGGTAGCAAAAAACCTGACAAGTTTCTGTCCCTTTGTGAAAGAAGAACACTGAATCACAGTGTGGTTAGATTCTGCTGCAGTGACCTCCAAAGGGCTGCTCAGGCTTTTGTTATAATGGAGTTTTAAAATTTCACATAGTGATTGTGTTTTTGGAAAGAGCAACTCACCAAGGTCTCGTGGGCTGATGGTGTTCATCGTGACTAGAACCAGAATAAAGGAGGGGCAGCTCCTTTCCTCAGATGTTACCAGGGGCTCATTCTTCCCGAGGCAAGCAAAGCACTGAGCACAGGGCCTGGAATTACAGTGTTATTTCTTATTTTACATTTACTTAGCTCCCCAAAGAATTTTTTTTAAATATTATTTGTTTAAATATATATATATATATATTTGAAAGGAGAGATTCTTCCATGTGTTTGTTCATTCCCCAAATGCCTGCAACAGCCAGGCCTGGGCCAGACTGAAGCCAGCAGCTTGGAATTAAATTTGGGTCTCCCACATGGGTGAAAGAGACCCAACTACTTGAGCCATCACTGTTGCTTTCCAGAGTGTACATTAGCAGGACACTAGAATTGAGAAAAGAGCTGGGACTGGAACCCAGGTACTCATACATAATAAAGGGAACCCAAGAGGTTCTTAAGTGACCATGCCAAATGCCTGCCCTCAAAAGGATTCTTTAGAACTATTCTCTGGAGCAGCTCCCAAAGAGCAGACCACAGAATTATGCTAGTCCATTTCTCCAGCACGAGAAAAAGCTAATTTTTAAAAAATTTAATATACACACACATGCATGTCAGACATTCAAGTCATCATTTACTTATCATTTCCTTTAAATTGCCTTTTCTCTGATACTTTTGTGCTATCAGGTTTTTCTTAAAGTTGACATGTTTTTTCTTCCAGTAAAGAATGTTGTTAGGATATGGTAGCAGTTGCTTTAAATGTCCCCACTTGGCAAATACAGAGGATGGCATCTCTATTTTTTTGGAATTTTTACCAGTCCTTGAGCCCTAAATCTGGAAACCTATGGCCTAGATATTTATAGCCTCTGTTTGTCTGATCTGTCTGGTCCCTACTCCACTGCACAGGATAAACTCTCAATGTGTCTCTTCACCAGCTTACCTCCTTCTGTGCAGTATCCTATACTTGAGACACAGAAGAGAAGGGGTATGCTAAGCAAGTAGTAGTAACTATTGGCTATTAATATTAATGCCACCAGTATTTTATCAATATTATAGAGAAAGAAAATAAGGTCAAATAAAACACTCCAAATTTTAGTGTGATAAATATGGAAGGGGGCTTTCTAACGAGCATACCAACTTGTGAACTGTTTTGTAACATGAACATATTTTCAATATTAAATGCTTCTGTCCCCTTCAATGTTTGCTCGTAGTTTGCAAACGTAAATGGTACTTTAAATGTTGCTTTTAAGAAATATGTATTACCACAGGGAAAATACAGACTTTCTATATTCAATCAGTCCAAGCCATTGCTTAGATCATGCTTCATGATAAAGATTAAATGAGAATGTAACATAACTATGTGGCTACTTTTATGCTAGCAAGACTTCCTGGCTTGAGTACAGTACTCTCGAGATACAGGTCTTATACTCAGTTAAGCCATTGATATCTCTGTATTTTGTTGGGAAATTGTTTAAGTTGCTTCAAGTCCCTGTTTATAAACCTGAGATAGTAAAATCTGCCACTAATGACCCATCATCAAGGGCATTGAAAATACCAACAATTGGGGCTGGCACTGTGGCGTAGCAGGTAAGGCCACTGCCTTCAGTGCCGGCATCCCATCTGGGCACCGGTTCTAGTCCTGGCTCTCCACTTCCAATCCAGCTCTCTGCTATGGCTGGGAAAGCAGTAGAAGATGGCCCAAGTCCTTGGGCCCCTGCATCAGCATGGGAGACCCGGAAGAAGCTCCTAGCTCCTGGCTCCTGGCTTCAGATCGGCATAGCTCTGGCCGTTGCAGCCAGTTGGAGAGTGAACCAGTGGATGGAAGACCTCTCTCTCTCTGCCTGTCTCTCTCTGCCTCTCCTTCTCTGTAACTCTTTCAAATAAATAAAATATTTAAAAAAAAATACAAACAATTGCCTTATATACTGGGAAGATAGTTATCTGCATATTTGAAAGTTATTTAACTACCATATTATGTGTACAATAAATAACAGCATAAGAATGAAAAGTGGGCTAAGTTTTATAGCAATATTAATAAGTTTCCATTTCTTCAGCATTTATTGGGTACCAGGCATTGTGCTAAATGCTTTACTAACATTATCTGATTAGCCTTTTAATAACTTTTGGGGAGGCACTATTTGATTGCTGCCATCAATTTACAGCTCAGGAAACTAGGATTTTTCAAGAGCATTGCCCACAGTAAGAGGCTGGAAGGCCTCCCGAGACGGGCAGCCCACCTCTTCCCATGCAGAGGTTGAACGCCTCTGAATCTCTGCATGTCCACTGGACTAGAGATTATATATTTCCCCCTCTAACACCTAATAAGGCAATATTTTCCTTTATATTCCTTTAGTTCCTTATGTGAAAAATTCTTAATTTCCCTTTGTCTTTTGTCATTTGACTTTCATTTCCTGTTTTGGGTTTTCTGCTTTTATCACTCTGAGCCTTCAGTTCTGCCCTGTTCCATTCCTCTTCTGACCTCAGTTCCAGTTTTGGTGCCTTTCCTTCATGTTTCAGTTCCTTCCATAGCCTGCTCAGCACACAAAGTTACCCTTTATGGTTTTCATCTTTCTTTCCACTCAAGGTTTTCCAGTTTTCCTATACTCCTTTGATATGTATATATTTGATATGTATATATTTATCTGAAAAAGGTTTCCTTTGGAACCCTCTAGGTTAAACTTCAGCGAGTATTTTCTGATTTAAGTACTGTAACATAAAATAAATCTTTGAATCATTCATGGACAGTGCATATTATGAAAAAATTATGTCTGGATTTCAAATTTTTTGTACCAAAGTAACTTCTTTTAATTCCATTTTCCATTAACTTTTTGAAGTACCCCTATATTGGCAGCACCTACAGCTTTCTTGTTTGGACAAAGAGAACAGTGACAGAAAGCAAAGGGATAGAAGGGTTTGAATGCTATCCTTGGCGAGCAGCAGAGAGAAACAGACAGAAAGCCTTCTAGAAGACTACTCACCTAGAAAACTTCTGGACTATTTACATGATTTCAGCACATAGAATATTGGGACTCAGAAATTACATATGTAACACATTTTGTTAGGTAAAATTTTTTTTTTGTTTAGAGATAAGGTTATTATGCTATCCAATATGCTTTTGATCCTTATTACTAGAAATCCATGGGGCCGGCATTATGGCATAATGCGTAAAGCCACAGCCTGCAGTGCCAGCATCTCATATGGGCACTCAGTCCAGTTGCTCCACTTCCTATCCAGCTCTCTGCTATGGCCTGGAAAAGCAGTAGAAGACAGTCCAAGTCCAAGGGCCCCTGCACCATGTGGGACACTCGGAAGAGGTTCCTGGCTACTAGCTTCGGTTCAGCTAAGTTCCGGCCGTTGAGGTCATTTGGGGAGTAAACCAGTGGATGAAAGACTTCTCTCTCTCTCTGGCTCTACCTCTCTATAACTCTTTCTAAATAAAATAAATCTTTTAAAAAAATCCAGATCTACATGAGTCGATAAACTGGCCACGGGCAGCACAGTACCAGGAACAAATACTAGACTACGAGAACTAGGCCCTGGTTTTATTGGTGACTTTCTGAGTGATCTCTGGCAGGTTCCCTCTCTCCGGTTTCCTTACTAGTAAGGACGAGGTAAGCTGCCACTGAACTTCTTGGCTTCATGATTCTTGGTACAATACATTTTCCCCTTTCCTCTAACCACTTAGAAATTCTCACTGCTGAAAGAAAGCTGTCTGTTGTGAGGAAGACTATCAGTCGCTCCAGTCTTGCCCTCATTAGATGTTGATAACTGCTAGTTCTAAATTCTCCACATACATACATACACACATTCATACATACATATATATAAGCTATTTCCTAAAGAACAGCAAAATTCTATTTCAATGTCCCCTGATAATTGTGATTGCATCTGAATCAAATGCCTTGTTTAGAGGTTATGTGAACTACATGTACAAGAAGAAATGCATTTTGAGTTGTTTGCTGTTAAGTAGCAACTTTACTGCTTAACCTGAAATATTAGATGCCAAAAGCCTGTCTTTCAAAGCACATGACTCCCAAACTGAGCTTCTGTGACAGAAAAGATTTTGTGGATATTAAGCAAAATGTTCAGAAGAAACTGGGCACCCTAGGAGAAATTCTCTGACTCCAGCATCTAGAAAGCATCCTATTCTAAAAGACATAACGAAGAAGCACGATCTGTTAGCCCATATTTCCAGGTAACAAGAGTCATCACAGGATTTTAAAGTTGGAGAGATCTTGATGATCAACAAGCTAGCAGTAGATAGTTCAATCTTCTACTCAGCACAAGTATTACATCTCCAACATTCCTGCTATTTAAAGAACAGGGCTCTGCTTTAACACGTTCTGTGACAAGGATCTCACTGCCTCATAAAATTGATCATTGCATTGAAAGACTGCCTTCTTCATTGTCAAACCGTGTAAACACACCTTGAGCTAGGTTTGATGAAGCCTCTTACTGCAAATTGTAGCATATTATTCTTTGTTGAAGGCCTGCCCCTTCATTTGTGAGGTCCCAGGCAAGATTACAAATGGATGACCACATTTTGTATGTCTAAGTATGAAAAAGTTATAAAACAAGCTAACTGTTAAATAAAGCATGTTCTCTATTTCTGCTATGACAAATACACCTTAAGAACTCCAAGTTGAGGGGTGTTCGGTGCAGTGATTAAGATGTCACTTGGTTTACCTGCAGCCTGTGGAATATCTTTCTTGTCTTTCAAAAGGTTTTATTAAAGAGGCCGGGGCCGTGGTGTAGCAGGTAAAGCTGCCGCCTGCAGTGCCAGCACCCCATATGGGTGCAAGTTTGAGATTCGGCTGCTCCATTTCCAATTCAGCTCCCTGCTAATGTGCCTGGTAAAGCAGTGGAAGATGGCCCAAGTGCTTGGGCCCCTGCACCCACATGGGAGAACCAGAGGAAGCTCCTGGCTCCTGATCGGCCCACCTAAGGGCATTGCAGCCATCTGGGGAATGAACTAGTGGACAGAAGACATCTGATGCAGACTCACTCTCTCTCTCTGGCTCTTTATAACTCTACCTTTCAAATAAATAAAAACTTAAAAAAATTATTAAAAAATAACAATACTAAGTTGGAAAGCAGGCAAAAGCTATGATTTTTA